AACTCCATGTGATACTCAGCAAACATTACGCATATTTTTGCGTCCCTTTGTATATATACGTTCACCCTATGGTTGTTGTAAAGTTAATTGCTTTTTAGACCATTAAACCTTGAATTACCTTGAATTACTTGATGAGCTCCAGGAAGGGCGAAACCGGTTGTGGGTTGTCGAGGAGTTTTCATCAACCTTGTGAGTAGTTTCCTTTATGAAAAAGACCAGTTGTTTTGTTTGTGTTCGAGAGTTTTTTTAGGGGAAATATTTCAACCAGAAATAATGCTAATTCAAACAGTAACTGTCACTTCAACGTATCTGTAATGAGTAGTTTCCTTTATGAAAAAGACCAGAGAGGTTGTTTGTGTTCGAGAGTTTTTTTAGGGGAAATATTTCAACCAGAAATAATGCTAATTCAAACAGTAACTGTCACTTCAACATCCAGTATCTGTAAATCGGCAGCTGAATTACTATGCCACTCGAAATAAGGAGAATGAATCGTCTTTTTCCTCAAGCTATCAGACGAAAATAGTTTTCAATACAGAATTTTATAATCGCCAATTCAAGGTCGTTGTTTGGTCGAACAATAGCTTACTCAACGGCTTTGAATCAATCGTCGCTTTCGAACGGCATTGGAAAAACTAAGATTGAACCTCTCTTGAATGTAAGAGCAATGCACACTCGAGGTTGGAAAACCAGCACGAAAATTTATTGTGCTTGCGAATGAATCACGTGAAACAATGACCTCGTGAGTGAGCGAGCGCCGAAACAAGATTCATTGCAGTAGTGACGTGACCTATCACCTTCAAATGAATGCGAATGGACACAGTTACTCAAACGCGTTGCCACAAGCTCGGCGTTTATTGTTGTTACGAGGTCTGCGCGGCGCCACTTGTCCGACAACTCGGCTGGAAGCTTGTGTAATCCAGTGACATCGATTGCTACATGACTGGTGTACTCAGGAGAGAGTTGAATGTTTGGCCAATGAAGAGCGGATGAACAACTACTGATCGCGTAACTCTGAGTTTGTAGCGTATATTTTTTAATAACTGTTTGCAACCGGAAAGCCTGGAAAACAGTACTCCAGCCACCAATTTCTGTTTAAAACTGAATTCCCCTTGTATGAATTTATGTTTCGTGTATGGGGATCAGCATACCACTTTTAAATAGGATCAGAGAAAAGTACTACAGCAATAGGCTTGAGCAGTATTCGTTTGGGTTGAAGGTAATGCCGATGCAACCTGTGAGCAAACAAGTTAATGTAGAATACAATATTACGGAATACTGATGAATAGCTTAGAAAGCATTATTGTGCCATTAGGTTGAGAGAAATCGCCACTTTCATAGGTACGATATGCAGCCATTCTGTCCCGTGTTAGACTTTGAGACGTGGGGCTCTTGCAGGAGGTGAAGTCTTTCTCATCTTTCCGGTCACCCAGTCCGACGTTGATTTCGCCCACCCACACTGTCCCTGAGTGGGCATCTCAAGAAGGCTTAGAACCGTGGTGGAAATCAGCGACGATTAGGTATGCAGTTCCTCCGGACCGGGAGAACGACCTAGTCCAATGACAGTAGGACCGATCAGCTGCTCTGCAACCCTTTTCGTGGTCTTACAGATCGCATCCATGTTGTGCAAAGAATAACGATCTCAATTCACATAAGAACAGGCGAGCTTGCAAAAGTACACCCTAAGATATGTCCTGACACGCGTCGAAACAAACTCGATTCATCCTATTGAAAAAGATCATGAAATGTCAAAACCATTACTTTTTGCACGGATGGTCCATTTACCGTTCACTTGTTTCCGACGAGCATCTGCTCGTACCAGCTTGTTGCAGTTTTAGCTGCCAAAAGCGAAACGCTAACGAATGCAGAATGTTGCAGCAGGTGTTGAGATACAAGAAAGAACCCAGAGAGAAGGACACCATGCGTTGGATGATGTAAACGCCACCTGTCCAACAAACGGCTGATTTATATCCACCTCCCCTTCAAATGGAACAGTGGATTTTTTGTCTGGATGCATATCAGTCAGGTCGTCTGATCACTGAGTTTCCGATCCATTGTGATTTGACCCCCTCACAACTCTTAAAAAATCCTGACCCAAGCTGAAACGATGTGGCAACACTGAAAAAAGCCTTTCAACATTCGCAGAATGTCTGTATTTGCGAACCAATCTGGTTTTACCGCAAGACTCGGTTGAACCCACCGAAACCTCTCATATTCTTCAGCCGCTCAAGGACTGACTGCCTCATCTTTCTGTTGCCAAAATATCCGAGATATCACAACATGCTTTCCTGAAGTAAACAGGGTTACTGAAATCGCTTCGACAGCACACGACTGGTTTTGTCCTACTTGTTAGCTAGCCACACTCCACCGAGTTTCCCTCAACCCAAATCCTACGAAATTTGCCAACTACACTCATTTTCACACCAATATAGTTTTCACAGAAGAATCGATCGAATCCAGCTGAATCACCTCTTTACGATATTCTTCCATAGGATTAACCGCAAGAAGGACGAAAGCGGTCGTGCGCTATCGAAGAGTTTTCATCAACCTTGGGAGTAGTGTGCTGCGCCGATTTAACATTCCTATAGGAGGAACAAAAGCAGGTCCGATGTACGTCACTCCCATTTCCATTACTGTACTGAAGAACCTGTTGAAGCTGTGTGTACTTATTATTATTACATGATAATGACATTGAACGGACTTATAAAGTCTTAGCTGTGTGTTGGCCCGTCCAAAAATCGAACACATGAACAAACAGACAAAGAATTATTTGTCTCGTCCGTTGAGTCATTCTCAGGGGTCAATACTGTCCCAAGAATTTCCATTCTTGAAATCGATTGGCACTTTTGATGTCTGTTTTGCCAAGACTACTATATACAGTCACCTTCTACTCATATCGCATTGGTTGAACTCAAAAATAATTGAATGCTTTGAAGAGAATGATACTAAGCGACGAATGCACACAAAACATTTATAAACCCACGAAAACAAGAGACACTTTAAAGTCGGTGTCGACAACGGATCGAATTCCGAGAGGTCGCCATCAAGCGAATGGAAATATTTTTACTGACAGAAAATAGATACATTGAAGGGTATCTCGGCGAGGCCTATTCATACCGTAGAAGCAGCTTGCTCGCAACTGACGAGTGTCCCTTTTTAACTGTAAAGTGTCAATAATATATTGAGTAGCTGAGCTCGATACGGTCTGATAGGTTCAGTAGATAGTCTCATCAACAAAGGCCACCATACCGTTGGCTCCAACAACGCTAGGCGAGATCTGTTTGGCTTTCAAAGCTATCCGCATCTGGTCTTCTCCTCGTTCATCAAAAAATGTTCCGAAAGGGGACAGCGCCAGCTTCGCCCAGCAGCACGCGCGAGAAAGGTTAACTTTTTGGTCTTCCTTATGTAGCATTGTTCGTCAGGTCACAGGCGACTGATAGTCAACCCTGACATTGGATTATTCCATCTCGATCATCAGAGTGGGAAGAGTCCATTCACTGAGGGTTGAACTTCACGAGGTGGATGGGCACCACACTCCATACGCTTGACGTTGGACTAGCCGTTCAGCTCTCATATTAACCCATATTCGCAATGTGTTCGTATATTCGACTTACTTAAAACATAAGGCATCATAGTGCAACAGAACAGGATCTTTTGGCTTGAATGGAGATGTTGATTACTAGACATCGTAGCTATAAAAAGTAGGCTGGTTCCTAGTAGGGAGAGTCGACTATGTTGGAAGGCTTTTATTCATTTCAACTCAATGCCGAAGTTATTATTGTCTCTTTCTTGTGCCTTCGGAACATAAGGGCTTTGGCGCCAAATTCATCAAGAAGCATTTATAATAATTTCTACGTCACCTAATCGTTTAGGTAGTATGTGGTTGCAAAATAGGTATCACTACGTATTCGGCACCGTCTGGCCAATGCGATATGAGTAGTATTTCAGGTGCAGGATATCCGCAGAGTGACCAAGCGGATTAGCAGAGGAAACGAGATCA